ATCAACTATTTACTTTATGCAGAACCAGTACTGAATGCATTGTCAAAGGGTTCATTTGCACTTTAAGCGCTATAGAAATTTAATAAATTATTATTAATTATTCAATACCAACTTTATGACAGTGGCTACGTTTACGGAACCGTACGACTACTAGTAATGCCTATTCGAGTGGACATTCAAATATTTTGATATTCTGAAAAAAATCGATAGAGCTTTTTATTTGTGTGTTGTTGTGCGCTGCGAATCCAACTGAACCACGCAGATTAAAAGAGCAAGCGAAAACACCTTCACATTTTCTCTCTGTATGAAGAGCCCCAGGGGTTCTAAGGGTTCTGTAGGGCAGTCTTGATATATCTCATACATCTACGTAATTGAAATAAAATTAGATTAAATTTTTTGAGGCGTGAAGTTGCCCAACTTGTCATTGGCACGACGAAGGTCACTACTCAAGGAACATGTGGGTGTCCGGTGCGACATTTGTACGAGCGTGTTCCCTGCGAATCAACAGAACACAAAGAAAACGTTTTACTGCTGTAATGACTGCGATTCGATTCACCGGATGTCATTAAAATCAAAGAAATTGAAACTCATCATACCACGACAAGAGAGCGAAGAAATGGATGAAGAGGCAACCCATGAGGCCAACTACTTTCCTTTTTTAGCCAACTGGGAACATTATTAAATTGCCGTACTGTCGAAATATGCAAAATAAAGTTGTACTGTCGTGACTAAACGCTTGTGGTCAATATGTACTGCATTCAGCGAACCTTGACAATACTACTCAGTGATACGATGAAAAAGCTAAGCAAGTTTAAGATGGAACCAAACTAATTCAGAGCGAATTTTGGACAGTTTTATAATTTATAATTTTATAAATAAAATACACTGTTAGAATCTAGGATAATCCAAGCACATTATATGAAAAATACAGTTAAATTGACGTAATAGTTTTGCGAAGGAAGCGAGAATAAAATTGTCCAAAATTCGCTCTGAATTAGTTTGGTTCCACCTTAATGACCTGAATAAAGGATGTGTCTGAACCTGCCTGTGTATGGCCGGAAGAGGATTCGTATGTTCCTTTTATATGTATATGTATACAATTATGTATATAATTATGTCATTTCCCATGTGCCATTTCAGCCTCAGCTTTTATGTTCTATGTTTCTGAACCCGACAACGATTCTTCAATTGAGTGTATAGGTTATCGGAATGTTTCGTAGCAAAACATATTTGTATTACAGAACTGGTATTCAACATATTTGCGTGACTAGACGTATGAAACCAAAATAAATTTAGCTCAGTTTTAAAGAATCGTAGACCAAAAAACATCCACACATTATTTGAGTGTAGACTGAATTGAAAGCGATATTAGGTTGACGATATAGAAACGATATAGGTTGATCTAGTGTAAACTGTAATGCACTAGTCATTTGAAAGCCCCCGGTCCCAGTTTTTCACGCATGCTACTTGTCAACGTGGAGGTTTCCCAGTCGTTTCGTTAAACGTAGAGTTAAGCTTCTGGCGCATAGGAGTTTTGAAACGTGTAGTTCGAATACTGACCTCTACTTTGTGTCTTAACCCCTGATGATAAACACTTTCGAATGACTATCCCAGAGCCTTCGTATTTTGATACTTATATTCTCCACCACATCGTCGCGACGCATGAGCTCATGTTTCGTAACGTTGCCTTCACTCACAACGTTTCTATTATCTATCCAACTAATGTATAATGTTCGGTCTACGTTATCATTTAC